TTTTGTGAAAATTCTATAAAACTATAGAAAATACCAGAGTTATTATCTTTTAATAAGTCATTTATAATTAAAACACCCTTTTCAAACCATTGCTTATAAAATAAACACTTGGCTCCTACTGTAAAATATTTGTTATACCAAATAGGCATTTTCAATCTACTTTTCATCTCTCTTATACAATCTTCTTTATCAGCTATTTTTCTCCATGATTGGAACACATCTTTCCAAAAAAGGTTTTTACAATTGCCTTGAATAATCGATAAGTATTCTGAACCACAATTAAATAAAATGTCCTTATTAACATATTTTTTAAATAACACTTGCCATTTACCCCCTGATGTAAGCAACCTACGTATCCAAGTAAGTTTCAAGGCTTCAATAAAAGACTTGATGTGTATCATTTTAAGACCCCCTTCCTGATAGCTTTTATCCTTTATCATATCATGTCACTGACAAAATCTTGTTATTTTTTGAATTCTAAATTAAAACTAACTCAATTAAAAAAAACCAACGTCTGTTAATAAGGTCCACCTGATTAATTGTTATAAAGATTGTGAAGTTATGGTAATTGGTTGTTGCAATATGAGAAATACGAGGAAATAATTTAAAAGAATACATCTTATCAATATAAACCCTATGGACTCTTAATTGCTGTTTCTTTCAGTAAAACATTGTATAATTCATACGTACAAATGTAATACCTTAGTGCGATGTATTGTTTTGAAGAAAATTATACTATATATTATATATCTGTATTTCGTTCACCTTACGACAAAGAGACATCCAAATTCCTCTTCTCTAAGTCAATATTGCCCTTTTTTTTAGTATTCATTCTTTTTTAGATTCATATTTACTTCTTTCTGAACATTTTTCCGATCCTTATTTCCTCGATAATATTAATTATTGTTGGCCATTTTAGTCCGTGTAAAGATCCACCGACCTGATGTGCTATACCCTCCTACGACCGGATTGACAAAGTGTTGTTTTTAATTTTACAGACCTTGATTGGCTTCCTGCTATCTATTGCCGTCGAAATCTTTGGAATCTGTGGTTGGATCTACGTTAGGGTGGAGGTAAAGTTACAGTGGTATAACGTATAGTGTTTTTAAAACATAAGGCTGATAGCGGTATAAAGTTTAGTGTCTTAAAACATAAGGCTGATAGCGGTATAAAGTTAAGTGTCTTAAAACATCAGGTGGGATAGCGGATTAAAGTTTAGTGTCTTAAAACATCAGGTGGGATAGCTGTATACAATTTAGTGTCTTAAACATCAGGTGGGATAGCCGTATAAAGTTTAGTGTCTTCATAAATAAGGCTGATAGCGGTATAAAGTTAAGTGTCTTAAACATCAGGTGGGATAGCGGTATAAAGTTTAGTGTCTTAAAACATCAGGTGGGATAGTGATATAAAGTTTGGTGTCTTAAACATCAGGTGGGATAACGGTATAAAGTATAGTGTCTTAAAACATCAGGTGGGATAGCCGTATAAAGTTTAGTGTCTTCATACATAAGGCTGATAGCGGTATAAAGTATAGTGTCTTAAAACATCAGGTGGGATAGCGGTATAAAGTTTAGTGTCTTCAAACATCAGGTGGGATAGCGGTATAAAGTTTAGTGTCTTTAAACATAAGGCTGATAGCGGTATAAAGTATAGTGTCTTAAAACATAAGGCTGATAGCAGTATAAAGTATAATGTCTTAAAACATAAGGCTGATAGCGTTATAACGTATAGTGTCTTAAAACATAAGGCTGATAGCGGTATAAAGTATAGTGTCTTCAAACATAAGGCTGATAGCGGTATAAAGTAAAGTGTTTTTAAACATAAGGCTGATAGCGGTATAAAGCATAGTGTCTTAAAACATAAGGCTGACAGCGGTATAAAGTTTAGTGTCATCAAACATAAGGCTGATAGCGGTATAAAGTAAAGTGTCTTAAAACATGATGCTGACGGTAATACAATATAAATGTCATATATGATATCATAGCTTACAACGTATACTAGAAAGCAGTTTTCTAACTTTAGGTTCTTTATCTACAACTAGACCAGCAGCCAACCAGCTTTACCTGGAAGTGGAGTATATACAATGTTTTTGGGTTTATTTGGGTCACCGAGTCCATATATAATAAGAATCTGCTCGATGACACCCTTTCACCTTTAGGCATTTTTCTAATTTTCATAAAACCAAGTTGGCCACCATTGTTCTGTTTGAATATACTATAATTAAGATTTCTCGGCTTTAAGAAGTGATTTTAAAACAATAAAAAAAAGTTTTAACGGGGCTTTAAGACATAAGAAACCCAATGGAATACATTTTATTATGATTTGACAAATCCTTCATTTGCATAAATCCAATATGGCCGCCGTCAAACCTCTCAAGAGACCGGTTTTATGTCACAACATTCTTGATACAATTTTGGATACAGTTTAAATAATTTGTTTTAATGTTTTGAAAAAAAAGAGGTCTCATATTATGCATCTATATTACAATCTAAATATATTAGCTTCATTTGCATATGCCAATAGGCCGTTATCAATCTGTCTACAGTTTACTGAACATTTGAATGGCATGCTTGATTGATCCAAAGTGGTGACAATATCATTGAACACCTTCCATATAATAAGTTAGTAGTTTGTCATTGACGTATACGTTAGAATATAAGAGTGTATAGTACATGTCATTGTACACAGTTATCAACATAATGTTCCTCTCATTTGTCTATGTTGACATTAACACGTTTATGTCTAATTGTTACCGTCGTCATCTGCATCAGAGGCTACATACCATTTAGTCAGTTCGTTATGACAGTCCTCAGCACGACATCCGCACAATACAGTTTACGGTAGTTTACCGCTCGCACATCCTCATCTGCCTGATTTGCAAGTAGTTTTCACTTTCTCAAGAGCAGCTAATCAGTTTCAGAATCCCTTTAGGAGCAAGGGACACATCTTCATGTATTGTTTTAGGCAATATAGTCTTGGAATTGTAGTCACGAACGTATCCATGTTCTGTTGGATCTAGCGAGGGAGGTCCAATTCCAAAGCGTGTTTCCACCACTTATGCATGCAGGTGTGCCCGTTTGACATTTTCCAGAAACGCTTCTGTTGTGAGAGTTAGAGACTTCAGCCTTGGTATGGCTGTGGTGCCCTTTCCAATCTTTGTGGCCCATGACTTCCTCCTTACCTCAAACATACTGCTACAGTCCTTGTGTCTGTAGTATGAGGCCACAAACTTGGATGCCTGTCTTAGGAGTAACCTTCTCGTAGAACTTTCAGTTCCCTGACTTTAGTGCTCTTGTATCACAACCCGATAGGACGTGCATAGACAACAGTTCATCTTCTATGCTCTGCTGTTGTTTAACAGTAGCTTGTATGTCAATAACGGTTCTACCATGAATCGGCGATTCCATGATCATGTGACTGATTAACTGTCGCTTAAAGTAGTGGTGAAGCAGAAAGATGAAGACGTCAGTGTCATCTGCAATCACTGACACGCCTACTTGGTATTCAATCGCAGATGTAACTGCTTATTGAACAATGATGCAGTCTGCCTCTTCATGAGATGTATACATGTCTTCCCGGTAGATCAAAACACCCCCATAAGTCATTCAAACAGGTGTGTTATTACTGCTAGTGATCACAAGTGTGTGTGTCATTGTGTAGTCTCGATGGAAGGTAGGTAGTGTCGCTGGTCAGCTCTTCACAGATAATTTCCATCAGCTGTGATTTATTTTCTGACACTGTCAGGACAACTTTCTGTTGGGGTAGAGGTGTATCCAGAGCCAGTCAATGTATTCTGCTTGCTTCTGTTGGTCTATTACATCTGGCCGTTCTCTTGGTACTGAAATCCTGGTACCTGTCGAACACGAGATAGACATCGCTAGAAGTCAGTTTATGTTGGATGTACTGTTTGAAGTTCACAACACAGTCGCGGACTGTCCCATTCGCTGGCCAGTGTATCACCCAGAGGTTACATGTGCATGCTATTTCGGTATTGGTTAAGTCAGGGTACTGAAAGTTCTCCGAGAAGACTACTCCTTGTCACTTTTGGGTGACATTTATGCACTGTTACCAAATATAACAAGACAGGTACCTAAGTTTGTGGCCGTACACTATGGACACAAGGACTGTCGCAGTATGCCACACAGCACACAAGACATGACAGGTATTGCAAATGCATCACAAGACATTGCTGGTGAGGTACGAGAACAAGAGGAAACATTCCTCAATGCATTTAGCCTTGTATTAGGAGTCAGTAGGAAATCTCGCAGCGCGTGGGCCATGGATGATAATAAACATTCAAAAAGTTATCAATCAGATCGTTTACAGATTCATACAGTACGGGTATTAAAGTGATCAACCGATCTACCAGTTATCTTGTACATGTGTATCAATATAAATATAGTTCTAAGTTTGAGCCAATACTGGGTACTGGAAAAGAAAAAGAAAATACAAAAATGAAAAATACGTGAAAAAAGGTAACAAAATCTAGTTCTACATAACGCTTTCACACACACAAATAGTAAGAACCTAGATAGATTTATGATCCCTGTCCCACTACGCTATGGTTTTCTCTTAAAATCGTTTTGGTTTTGGATATAACTATAGCACAGTTGGGCCACAACACTTACGATGTCCAGGTAGCTTAGTCGGCTAAAACGATAGTATAACAATAGTGAGGTCCAGGGTTCGAATCCTGGTTATTTACACTAAAACCTCTATTGCTGATTTTCATTAACGTATTATCCGTTTATCATTGTTTCATAAACGTCCTGCAAGGTATGGTTTTCTTTTCCAAACTGATTCATCAAAGAAAACAGTTTCGATTGATTACATAGGTACCGTTTGTGACAGTGGTTATTGAATCCTTAATCATATCAAAAAAATATCTAACTCAATTAAATGATAATATAAGAAGCAAAATATTTACTGCTGTTCTTGAACAATTTTATTAGACAACTAGTATCAAACTTTTGAAGAACGACGGATTGTTTTACATGTATGCTGAGTATTGTCTGATTATACATTTATAGAACGAACTGGAATTTGCACGTAGTTTTCAAAGTGTGTTTTGAGACATCTGTGTCACATTTTTGAGTTATGGTTACAAATGATATCATTATTTCTTTTACTTGCAGATTGATTGGAATCTTACGAATGAATTAAGATCAGTTCTCCTGAACTATTACAGGACCGATAGTTCTGACCATTATCTGTATTACGGTACCGTCAATCTAGGTTTTAACTTTCTATTTTACGAGGTGAGTAAACGCAAACAGACTGTGTTATTGTTTAACAATAGTCAGACTGTTAGAAGCGTTTCGGTTGGTTTTGATATTTTTAGACGTATTGATACGTTTGTACTTCTATGATAATAAGAAAAAAAACACTTTTTATTCAAGTTGCCGAGTTGTTCAATGAAAATGAAATGACTACTAAACATCACTTTTTTGTACATAATGATTGTTCACGTCTAAACTTTCATTTTCTTCCTTTTTCAAGATGGGCAAAGATAAATCATTTAAGTAAAAGAGCGATGCAAAATAAAGCTAATAGTTTTGAAAACCTTTCTCAAGTTGTTTCGGATCCAGTTTGTTAATGATGCATAATTGTTAGAATTTGGATAGATTAAAAATCCAATATGTCAACCCCTGCGTCTGATTGTATTTGATATTTTTTCAAAACGGTTTCATAGTTATGGACGAAATAAGTGTTGCTATTTTTCAAAATTATGATTAGTATTATGTTTACATTACGAATTCATGAGATACTGCAATGATACAGGGCCTTCAGCAGACCATTGAGAGTGTATTTGACTCCAAGAAATAAGCTATGACTATGGTTTTTTAAGGACAGGTCTATTTGACATACATTTTACTCTCCAAAATTCAGGAAATATTCAAATTGACTTCTAAAATTATTAAATTGCAGGGTCAAATGAAACCCAGGTAATCATACCACTAGTTCAATAATTCTTCCAAAGTCAGAAAATGTCCTCTGACAGCCTGGAGTACTTAAATTTGCAGTGCAATATACACGAAGTATGATGGAGAATATGTTCATAACAAAGCTTTTGTTATCATCTTAGAAATTATAATCGCTGAGTTGTGTCAAAGTTTTGCAAACAAATATAGCGATATGTCCTATTCTTGCAGGCGGATTGTTGCGGCGTTGATTCGTATAGCGACCTTAATTATGTCTCATGGGTAACCAGTTACTTCAGCCCATCATACCCAAGAACGTGTCACTTGACAACGGATACTGTAAGATGGTACACCAATAGAGCACTAGCAATACAGAAGAATGCCTTTGACTTAAAAGTAAGGTTTTGGAATTTTAAGGGTAACTAACTACCGTATTTGTTTGTTTAAAACTTACTGAGGAAAAAACCTGGGCACAAGCCTATTAATCTCTTCGCCTCATATACTTTTAATACATCCAATCATAATATGATTAAATAAAACGTAAGTAAAATTTCGTGTTGCACAATTTCTATTAAGGATGGTTGTTTGTTGGTCAATGAAATATGGAAGGATACCCGTCCAATATTGGGTATGGTCTTAAACTGTCAATCTTCTGTTCATAATAACATCGTTTCAATGTTACCTTAAAGATCCCCGTACCACTGCCTAAAACTGTAACTACACATTGAAAACTGTTTTCCCTGCGTGACCTAGCGTTGATAAATTATTTCTAAAACTAAAACCATACCTTACGGGACTTTTATGAAAAAAATCATAAAGTTGAAATAAACAAAACAATACTAAACAACAGTGATCTGTGTAAACGTTCGACTTCATGTTTTAATGATATCCCTCTTATCGACAGAACTACCTGATCAGGTTATTATGTATTGATAATCTGTACAGTAATTATATTTATTAAATAAAAAACAACCATCATGCTTCTGTTCATAATTATTTTTGTTAAACTCTACCATTAAGGTATATATTACTATTCTTAATCCATTTTTCAAATTATGTTCCTGGAAGAGTATAGTCTTAATTACGGAGTTCATGACTCTGTATGACTTAATAATCAAAGCAGGTATTGGCTCCATGAGTGGGTACTAAATTCCATTTAATGGATCCAGCAGAAATAGCAATAAACTTAAAAGTGGTCTCTATCGACAAGAGTTTTTTTTATGGTAGAATTCACCTAATAGGGGATAACAACTTGGTCAGCTGATAAAAGTTGTTTCATATTAAGGCTTTATCTGTACGAGTGAAAAATATGGAGAAAAGAATCCCATTCGAAAGAAATATAATTGATGTTTACTTTTTATCATTGGTTAATACTCATTTTTCATTTGGCAATAGACATGTGTTAGCTTGGTCTATTTGCCCTAGTATACCATGCACGTGCAATGGTATACCAACGGAATCCAACGTGAGCCGTGTGAGATTATTGTTGTACGAATTTGCTTTGTCAAGTGTGGTTACACACGTGCTTGCGCCTATTTCATCATTTCCACAGAGATCCACGTTTCACTTGCAGAATAAGAACTTGTCCTCTCAACTCCACTCCACTCACATATTTGAAGAGCATCTATTATATTACTAACGTTTCTTAAACATTTTGCAGGCACTAATTGTTCCTGGCCTGTTCAAATATTTGTTCTAGTCAATTGATACCTTATCTACAAAATTTGATTTAAATATTGTCATTTTAAAACAAAATCCCAGGTGTGTAGGGGGAAAAAATACTTTGTGGTATAATTGCCATATTATTTCTGGAATGTACGCTTGAAAAATTACACCAAAGGATCTTCCAAATCAGGGTTGAACTCAACGCCTACTGAGAGTTTTGCCCCAGTTTGGAAAAATGGGGAGTGCGATTTCCTTATGGTACACCCCTTGCCTGTAAAACATATTTTACTCCCACACTCCAATAGACAGAAACAGCTCCAAAACCTAAAGCGAGTATTTTGAAATATCAATATTTCCTCTACTTTTTGGACGAAAATACACGGTCAGCAAGGAGTAGTGTGCATGTTATCACATCCTGATTTTGAAATACGCCAAACAGCTATCTTCAGGTTGTTTAAAATATATCGTAAACATGTTTATATAACACAACAATTGAATTATAGTAGGATAAATGCTTTGTCACGTTAATCGGACACATGACCATTTGAGTATTATAACATTAGAAAAATAGAATTAAATTCTTCATATCACACGAGAAAAAAAGGAATATTTCCATTTAAGATCATAATGGCAGCAATCAAACTTTATCGTCAACTGTCTTCATTATCCTAGTGTATGCTATATTTTAACGTATTACTTATAGGGGTGTGGCACTGAGGTTCGGAACTCCATACACAACTATGACGTCACTGCGTTCGTCCTATTTGCCCTGGCCCTAGTTCTGGAGGTAAGTTTTTAAACCCCCTGTTAAAGAGTTTATGTATTAGTGGTCATGGCCCAGGCAAAGACGAAAGTATGTTTTTTTCTTTTCGTGGTAAAACTCCTGGATGTATGTGTGGTATTGTCCTTGGTATATCTAATGGAGCTATATGGTTAATCTAGGGGCAGTTTAACCAGAGTGTAATTGTGCCATATTAATTTAGCTGTCTGTTTGAACATTTGTGTGGTGATTCCCAGTCCGAGAGTGTTGCACTTGTATATAGCTTTGGTCCTGTACGGAAGCACGTTGTCGTATGTCAGAGTGTTTTGTTCCCAAAAAATGGGCGCACAGTCTTTGGGGGAACTTCTGGTAGTGTTAAATCAGTTGGTGGAAATCCTTGACTACGTGTCACATGTAAATGATGACATGGGAAAATATGTGTGCTGCCTTTGAATTGTTTCCATATTGCTCTGTCATTTATACTCCGCCTCGACATTAGCCTCGTTCAACCAGACTCGTGTTGCCTGCGCAAGCTACGCCGAATAGAGTCTGGTCAAACCCAGTGCTTTCGTTTTGTGACATCATACCGAGGCTTATCGAGATTCTGGTAAATTTTTTCATTGGTCAAAGGTTGACACACCCTTTTTAATTTTTTAAAGTCAGAATTTGAGTGGCCCAAAATTACATTGAATATTTTAATTCATTAAAAAATACCTGTATATGCATTCCTGAAGTATCCATGTTTTCACTATTAACGAGAAAAATGTAAGAAAATGCCTCAAAAATAATTATTTCATGTATTTTCATTGGATATTTTACAATAATTCATGAAGCTAACAAGGCTATTGATACAAGTCAAGCCAGATTACCTGAGTGAGAACTTGAAGGTGTTTTGAATGGTGTACAGGTAAAATCTCACTTGCTTTGCATGCTTTTTTCCAACTCAGTCAGCCTTGTTGGCTTAATGCTTAGTTATGATTTATTCAATGGAAATATATGGCATTATTCTGGAAATTTGACACATTTTTTTTACACTGTTCTCGATAAAAGTGAATACACGGGTACTTCAGGAATGCTTGTATATGTATTTTTTTTTCATTAATTTCATTATTCATTGAAATGTTTAATGGCGTTGACATAACGTCCGGAAACGAAAGTAAAAACACTGCCCTCAGGTGATGGTAATTTTAAAGTACTGTGTTTGACCAGACTCTTGAATTACAAGTGATCAAGCGTCTGATTGAACGAGACTACCTCGACATACACGTGCTTATGTCAACACGCCGATGTAGTGTGTATGTAACGGTCATTCTGATTGGTTAAAAGATTTTTGGGTGATAAGAGCGATAACTCGGTATATCCGCTAGGCGGCAGTGGAGGGAATTGTGAAAACACGGCTATATCTGCCAGGGGTAAGTGGAGTGTATACGAAGCGAACACTTGGCTAGCGAAGATTGTTTTTGTGTGTTACGTTGATCTATTAAATGTATTTCTGTTGTACGTTCTTGTTTTGACGGTATGGAATAGTGCATGTACTTTCTATGTTAGATAACAGCGATGGTGTTACTAGATCGACGGTATAAACAGACTGTTTCTCCTGACCAAGAGAGGGGTGCATTTTCTACCCTCGTCTACTACGTAAAGGGGAAAAGGTAGAGTATTGATTGTATGTTAGCCGTGAAAATAATTCAACATTCAAAAGTCAATATTTGCCTTGTCTACATATTTATAGTTGAGTTTTCCTGGTCTTATTAAGCTCATCCTGGGCTTCTCTTTAAAAATGAGAAAGAGGTAACACACCGTAGTTCCAGGAGACTGAACACAAAAACAAAGACGCAGTAGCCTGCTAATCTCTTTTAATTTGTCTTTAATGTTCTGTATTTCGGTACAATAAAAATATTTATTCCCCTTGAAGTAGGGAAACATGACTTGTTTCCGCTTCATTGATTATGTTTACACACGACAAAGACAAAGCATATATAGTACATAAAATACCCAGACATATAACATTTCTACTAAAATGATGATTGCACATAGATATACAGTGTGCAGCGTTTTAATGCTACTGTATCAATTACCACGTTATTGTATATATCGCTACTATTTTATTGGAGCAAATCTTAACAAGACTAGTCAATGTACCATACGTATATAACCACCGTTTTGCGATTGTCTATATCTAACACACTTGTTGATACATGAACTGTGCCAATGTTTTATTGTGCTACGTAAATTTAACTTCAGTATATAGATAACCCGTTTCCATTACTTGAACATTTTAAAGAAATGTAGCTTCTAAAACAAATGTAATCAAATGTCTGGTAGACTTACATTGTCCTAGTAAGAATACAGACAAATAGACTTTGCTTCCCTTTCTTCCGTTAAAGCATTACATATCCATAATCCATATATCTCGTCCTTAATACATTTTTATAAATCGAGAACGTTTATTGAAATTACCGTTTTACTTTATATCATGTTTGTTAAATCAATACTTTATTTATTTTCTCTAGACAGTATCAATGTTGTGCAAAACACGTTTCTGTGGTATTCTTTTTATGAATGTAACACACGTAATTCTACAGAGTGCCAAATAATCTTCCTTCATGATCTTTCTATTGTTACTTAGGACGTTTCTGCAATAGTTTCTCCAAGACTTGTTTGTATTGATCCGAACGATAGTCCGTCAAAAACCTAATTCATGTGTTAAACATTCAAGTAAAAAAATATATTGATTCATATCACGTTCTAACAGAAATTGTATTGTTTTTATTATGTTCTTTCAAGAATGTAATTGATTTGTATGACGTTTTTGCTAGAATTGTCTTGATTTATATGACGTTTCTTCTAGAATAATATTGACCCATTGGACATGTCTTCAAGAATGATATTGATTTGTACCAAATATGTGTTTTACGCGTTCCGGTATGATGACAATGTGAGATAACGCTCCGACATCTTCGTCAAGTGAATAAAGTGTTTCTGAAGGAATTAGTCCGAAACGACACGAATTTACTTTCATTTTAACCTTGGTTTTGGTCAGCACGGCTAAGCAATGCATGTGTAAAACAAATATATAGTGTCCAAATGAACAGGAAAGAATAGTTTACACTGGCTTCTCGGTCATCAGAATGTTTTAAAGTGTTCTAATTCTTCGTTGTTTTTTATGGTTTGCATAGGATGCATAATCACATTTTTATTTCCCGACAGGGTGAATGATATCCACTTGCATGGACTGAGTGCCAGAATACTAGCGTTCGTAGGCATCACCGCTTTCTTAATGGTAAGCTATACTTTAATTAGAGGTGTGGTCTTATTCAAGCATACATTTGGATACATCATGTTGGTTTTCTCCAGGTCCTCCAGTTTCCTACCACATTACGAACCCATCCCCTTTTCATATTGTTTTGGTAAAATAAATAAAGTTTATGATAGTATATTTACATTTGCATGGCATTGCCATTATATAGCCTCTTTGAAAGCTGTGTCGTTGATGGGACTTTAATTACCATGCATCACGAGACACAATTCTTAGCGTATTAATACAACACTGACCGGAACTACAATATCCAATATAAATAAATATGACGGCTGCTGAAATATCGCTGGGCATTGTGAGATTTGACAATGTCATTGTAAATTTATGTGCAAAATAAAAAATAAAATAAAAATACACTTTTATTACAACGAAAACAAGACCAAGGTCTGCAATATCGTACAAAATGCACATCGGTTGAAATCACCAATGCCGGCAATGGAAACAATTTTAACGCTCATGCAATTTATCAGAAATATCGTCTGTTACACTGCACTGATCAACAGGGGTTCGTTACAAATGTCTGAAATACACATATTCTATAGACCTACTGACACATATNAGTCAGATTCCCATAAATTCTTCATGTAGCGGGGTGGTTTTACAAATAACCAAGAGTTCTTTGAGATTTATGTTTATTCCATTTCCACAGCACAGATATAACATGGTTCAATATCCTAGTGTATAGGTAGATACATACACTCTGTGAATGGCACAGAGCCAGGAATTAGGAAACAGATGCCATCAAACGAGCGAATCACTTAGTACTGAATTATTCGATTGTCAAAAGATGTATGTGTCGGTGTCCAAATCAACATGTCTGCTCTCTTACAAAATCTTTCACAAAACTGACACAATGAAATCCCGCCAAAAGTGACCAATATAAGACTGATCAATAGAAACAGAAATCTATACAAAATATCTGACCAATGAAAATAGACTATAAACAATAACATACTGGACCTTACATAACCACTCCATGGGATATTATACAGGTAAAGACAGGTAGACATCACAGGTAAGGATCACACCACAGGACATGTACGTCATAATATCAACACATATAAATAACATACTGGGCACAACATAGAATATAACACAGAGTATTTAATTAATATAAAATACAATAAAATATGACTCTGCTACATTCACAAAATGAGTAAAGAGAAAAGTTCGAATTAACTTCCAAAAATAACTCCCTCGTGGAGGGCAACGTCGGATTTACGGTGTTCACTGTATTTATCCATGCGCTAAATTTGTTCCGGGGAAAAATCGAAACAATTTCAAATCTTAGTTTCAGCTCAGAGTTCTGTTGATAAACTTAAATCACCCTATAGACATATCATACGCAATTGTATTTATACTGAATTGTGGAATAAAATTGAAGTGTCAAACTATTGAACGAAATGTTGTGGACTGTCAATAGGGCGGGCATTTTGAATTTTAAATATAAATTATAAGTTAAAAAAGAACATAAGAGGCAGAGAAAACGTAAATATAAGTATTGAACTGTTTTTGTATGGTATTTATGATATATTTGAATGACACAGCTTTGCAAGCAAACAAATCCTTATGCGCGCTAATGCTTAAATATAACAAGAAAATTGAATTTAAATAATAAATTTTATTTTTAAGTTTGCCGAGATACTGCTGTGGATCGGCGTGTTGATGCTGACATTTGCTCCGGGGTATTTAAATTATGGTTTTCTGGACAATCTAAACACAGCAGAGGAAATCTATAACGATCAATACCCACATTTGGGCTACCTCATGTACGGACTTTTGATCTGCGTTTTTGTCATGGAGTTGGTGTTTGTTATTTTACACTTGGTCACGATATTCGCCATAAGGACACTAAGGAAAGGTTTTATTTATATGGTAAGTACATTGTTGATAAAGGTGGTATGTTCTTATTCAGTCATGTAAATTGCCAAACGCTTCTGTTCCAAGAAGTTTAGGTAAGACGGTCATAATTTCAATAATAAAATCATTACATGTTTTGTAGTTGTCAGTAGTTAAGCGATAGGCTTATCGGAATTAAAGTAGCCGTTTCCGAAAATCACAAACATAATTGGGACAAAACATATTCCCCTTAAGATACAAGTAACTTTTTAATGAATGTTAACAAACATTTTTCATCTGTAGATATGTTTTGGATTTATCACTTTTCTTTAAATTCAAACTTGTACCAGTTGGGTTTTAGGTTGGAAAATGTATTTGTATAATAAAGTGTCTTGTAATATTTAAATAATACGCAATATGTGTATACAAATGTACCGCAATATAATGGACCCAAGGCTTTGACATAGGAAAGCTATAAAACACTGAAGAGATTCCGCGGCTACGGCAGTAACATCATTAACTTAAATCAATTTTTCAAAAACCCACTTTATTCTACTCAATAAAATTTTAACTTCAATATATACAGCAAATGTTTTAAAAACGAAACGAAATTTGGACTTTAATACATACAACAACAAAATCGTACATTATTATAAACAACAAAATTTAGACTTCAATATATACAGTAACTTTTTTAAACACAAAAGATACCAAATTGTTATTTCGGACTTTGATACATACAACAACAAAATCGTACTTTATTATACTCAACAGAATTTAGACTTCGATATACAGTTACACAACAATTTGTTTAAACACAAAAAATACCATTTTTTTATACTCAACAAAATTCAGACTTTATATGCACAAAACAAATATAGCACTTTCTTATACTCAAACCGATTCAGACTTCAGTATACATTCAATAAAATTAAGCACATTGTTATACTCAACATAGTTCAGATTTCGATTCACACACTGAAGTCCAATTATATTATACGAGTATGGAATTCGTAGGAAGTTTGACATCTCGTTGTACAATTTCTGTAAGAGTTATGTCCCTTCCTACATAGTTCGCATTGTAAAACATTTTGGTTACCACTTCAATACAATGAAGCATACATAAAACGCTACATATTTCAATTGTATTCATATGAACGTGTTAATTACTACTGAAACATTTTGATATTTTACATAATGAAGCAGATAACGAATTAAAGCTCCTTTATAATGTCCATATCTGAAGTTATTGTTAAAATAATTAGCCAATATTAAAAAATAAAAATATATAAAAAAATATTTAGTTTTGGGGTTCTGGTTTTTGCACCCTTTATGTTTTCAGTCCGCCGTACTGCTGGTTTTTATGATAATCTGTGATATACTGACCCTCTCCCTTGCATCACTACTGATTAATAAGGTAAGTGAAACATGAGTTTTAGAAAATTGGTTGTAAACCAAGCATCATTCTCCCTTTGACGTCACTTCTCAAAAGGTAAGAGACATGTAAACACCACTTGTTTGCATGTCAACCAAAAACTTCCGTCGTTTGTGATATCCTAGGACCTGTCCTTAACGTCATTTTTCATAGGACACATGTCCGCTGTTTTGATGACTTTTTGATCTGTCTTTTACGTCACCTCTCATGCCCATTAAATTTGTCTCGTTTGTGATGACCTTTGACTTTTCCATTACGTCAACTCTCATTGCCTACCACATCTCCGTTGTTTGTGATGACCTTTGACTTTCCTTTACGTCACCCATCATTATTTACCACACTTCCGTTGTTTGTGATGATCTTTGACTTTCCTTTACGTCACCTCTCATTGTTTACCACACTTCGTTATTTGTGATGACCTTTGACTTTTCCTTTACGTCAACTCTCATTGCCTACCACACTTCCGTTGTTTGTGATGACGTTTGACTTACCTTTACGTCACCTCTCATTGTTTAACACACTTCCGGTGTTTGTGATGACCTTTGACTTTTCCTTTACGTCAACTCTCATTGTCTACCACACTTCCGTTGTTTGTGATGACCTTTGACTTTTCCTTTACGTCAACTCTCATTGCCTGCCACACTTCCGTTGTTTGTGATTTCCTTTGACTTTCCTTTACGTCACCTCTCATTGTTTAACACACTTCGTTATTTGTGATGACCTTTGACTTTTCCATTACGTCAACTCTCATTGCCTACCACATCTCCGTTGTTTGTGATGACCTTTGACTTTCCTTTACGTCACCCATCATTATTTACCACACTTCCGTTGTTTGTGATGATCTTTGACTTTCCTTTACGTCACCTCTCATTGTTTACCACACTTCGTTATTTGTGATGACCTTTGACTTTTCCTTTACGTCAACTCTCATTGCCTACCACACTTCCGTTATTTGTGATGACCTTTGACCTCTCCTTTGTTCGTCAACTCTCATTGCCTACCACACTTCCGTTGCTTGTGATGAATCTGTCCCTGATATCATTACAACTATCTAGAGGTTTATGAAAGCTTTATAAAGGTAAGCGTCTGTTGTTTGACTTTAGTATCAAATATAAGATTCTGATTTATACATAAATGGTTCCTGTGTTGTTTTTAATCACAATATATTTATTTCCATTGATATACAGGCGGGGTACAACTGTGATTATACATTCCCTTGGACGGTAAGTCAAACAATTATTGATCTATTTATAGCGGAACTAAAAGTCTTTCTATTTATTTGTCAGATAATATGACAAAACAACCTTATATTATCTTATATACTCAAATTACCCTTTTGTGATAGTAACATTGATACAGTATGTTTTTCCCTTGCAGGAATTCTGTTCAAGCAACGCAGCAACACTGTTTATTCTGATGGGCGTATTTATAGGATTCAGTGTCGTACATATACTAATTTTGGTAAGTCACTAGAACAGACATAGATAGTGTTATTCACCAATTTTCGAACTATATTCTTGTTCAGTTACAAATTCAATATCCACATTGTATGCCACAAAACACTGAATATGACCATTTCAATGAAATATGAAATGCATAAATGTAATAACTATAATTTTGAATATAAATGCAAAACTTGATATAAACATAAATAGTTCAGTCTCATGAAAACATGTTTTATCATATATATGAATATTCACTATCTGACCACTCCATTCCTGCTGATGTTCAAAACTGACCTGTAGGTCCAGTTGAATGAATATTGTAACAATGACGTAACCGATGCCCAATGTATATTAAGATGGTGGTCTATCTTAGATACTAAAAAAGTAAATGTGTAAAGCGAAGGGGTCAAATTCCATGTGTAGATTAACGTATGCATCAGACATGTCTTAAATTGTCTGAAAGGTCAACGTACATTATTTTGGACGACGCCGCTGTATGGATATGTATCTTGTGCACTTAAGTTGTAATGAAACATACCATGAATTAAGGACGACGTAACATGAATAATAGACAGATAATACTTTTCATCCTTATAATTACCTTGTCAGTAAAGTGCTTGTTACGCCCATATACTATAACTGTTTGTAGAATCATATGAAATCAGGCATACTGATATCTGCTATTTTAAAGACACCTTGTGTCTCTGTAATATTTTATCTATGATAATTACTTATGTTTGAAGACAGCGTGTAGATTTTTGTTAATTCTTAACGCCATGTTTCCTGTTTCAGTGTGTATTAATTGGCCTAGGCATACGTGTCAGTAAGGAAAATGCTACCTCAGTGACGGTAGTTGTCCCTATAGATGAGCTTGATGTCCTATCCCTTTCCAACTCCGATAACGACTTATCCCTGGGAGATAATGTTAGGAATGTGTCTGCGTTGAACTCTTCGAGTGATCGGCAGAACACAGATAGTCGCCGTAAATCTGTCGCCAAACCTACATCTCACCGCCGACCATCTATAGCCCAATCTACTGCTGGCCGCCGAACATCTTTAGCCCAATCTACTGCTGGCCGCCGAACATCTGTAGCCCAACCGAATACTGACCGGCGTTCATCGGTTACACCCATTGCTGATTCGGTGGGCGTTCGATCACCTTTGTCTAATGAAGACGATGATATCGAAAATGATGACCTAGAAACAACATACACATAATGTACACATTCATTAACCATATTTGGAGTGTCGTTATACCCGTCTGCGTTGAACATCACGAAGAAAATTATCGCCAATTTCTGTTTTGTTTGCAATGAACATTTAAATGTTATAGGGGATTAATTCCTTTACAGTCAGTTGTATTGTAAAGAAGATGCCTGACGCGGAGTTTTGTTCTGACGTCATTTCACATGTTTTCTTATTTCAAATTCAACTATTTAAATTCAATTATTTAAATTCAACTATTTAAATTCAACTATTTAAATTCAACTATTTAAAACTATTTAAATTCAGCTGTTTAAATTCAACTATTTAAATTCAACATTTAATTTCAACTATTTAAATCAACGGACAGGTATAAGATCATCTTGTATTATTAGACTAATAACGCACAACTCCCCTTCTCCCTCCAATGAACACTGGCGAGTTTATTGTGTGTTATCAGTGATCGACCGAAACTAATTCGCAATTTTTATAGATTCTCTCCGATAATCGAATTTATTCGGAAGATTGATTGTCGCCTCTGCTGATGATTTTATGATATGTACATGTGCGTAGTTTTACCTTAATCTATCAATGCAATGATGATAAGGTGAAATGCTGTTCAAAAGACCGAAACGCTTGCAAATATTTTACTTCGATATTTTAATGACCAACTTATTCAAATCAATATTTCAAAGATGTGTGTTAAATTTTAACTTTATTAGGGTTTTACGACGTGAAATACGATGGGAATAAAATCTCTCTTATTTTGACTCGAATTCCCATACATGAAAGCATAACTCCCAGATTGGTCTCCTGTAATTCTGGCTTGTATGATATAATATGAAGTGGTAAATGAATAATGATACCATGAAGAAATGCATAACATATTGTTTTTTAAAAGGTTAGTAATAGTATGATGAAGGGTATACTATATGAAGTGGTAAATGAATCTGACGAAGTATGTAACGTGCAACATACTTATCACATAGTTGTTATATCAGTAATTGTCGTTATGATGTTAACTTGTTTGCATATCTGTGATCCTCCTAGTGTCCCTCTTGCAAGTTTACATATCAGCACATGCTATAGAGTGTTTTCTTTTTTAAAAATAAACTTGTTATACATATTTATCATTTTACATGTAAATATCATGTTTCCTATGTCCTTGATGGTGTTTTTTCCCGCTTATGTTGTCATTTAAAAAAAGGGAAAATACAAATCTAACTTTCTCTGTTTGAAATTGCAAATCTTCAAACAAATTGCCACAGGATGGAAAATAGGGACAGAACTAGTAGTTTTAGGGCCAACAATCTCGCCAATTCAATATGATATATTAAATAAAGAATAAAGTTCATCCTTTTTTCTCATATTTGTTTCCTTTTCAGAAGATTTTTTACATTATAATAAATACGGTCAGTACACTGAAAATTTGCGTGCCATTCTTTTTTCAAAGAAGTGTGAAATTATGTGTGATTTTACTTTATAGTATATCTAAAGCATGTGTGATAATAAAGGAAAGCACATTAGTGTGTATACGGTTATTTTTGTTCTTTTCTTTTAATTCCTTTACATTACTAAGAATAACACCTTTATAATATGCAAAGAAAAGCACAGGACTTCATTGTTGTTTCTCTTAGACTTAGTATGTTTGTATGCTAGCTATTTTTCTTTAAAGGATCCCTGTCCCACTTCACTGTGTTTTGTTAGTATAAACAGTAACCCCCCTTTCACTTCTGTAAGATATAACTGTAACACAGTTTGGCCAGGACACTTCCGTCGACGAGGTAGCTCTATTGGTTAAAGCGCTTGTTTATCAATCTTAAGTCAGGTGTTCGGACCCCAGTCAAGCCTCAATGTTGTTGATTATATTCTGTTTAGTTCATCTTTTTTTCTCTCTCATAAATGTCCTGCAAGGTATGTTTTCTTTTCTGAATGATTTATCAAAACTATAGTCATGGCAGTGGTACAGGGGATCCTAAAATCATAATTGTTGGTAGTGTATGTACATTTCATCAAACAAAATACACGATGTATATGCAAATATTAATATCAACAACAGTGGTGTTTGTTAATCTGATAAAACAATAAATGCTTGAAAGTTGAAGTTGAAATACATTAAAAATACCTGCAAATAAGATCCATAACAGTTGAAGACTTTTTATAACATCATTCACACTACGAGATAATATTATTCCGAAAAAAGAAAAAAAAGAGCATAACAAAACAAAGTATCAACAAAACCTTAATAAGAATTCACAATCTATAAAACGAGGGCACAATATGAACAATGGATTTTTTTTCACGAAGACCCTTGAAAAAGTACAAGGAGAATAAGACCAGATGTTCCGGAAAGCCAATCGTCCTTTGACTACGATATAATATTTGTCCGATTTGTTTTACTTCCAGATACCATAAACATCTATGAACACAAAATGATTTTGTTAGACCTTGTCATGGCTGTCAACCGTTATAATTAAATAGTTTAGTTAGATGTATCCTTGTATTAGTTTTTGAATTCTTTGGGTGTTCCAGCAGTTGTATTCATATCAGTACAGACTGTATTTAATTAACAAACTAACCCGAATTTACAAGGTTGCCATGTTGGCAAGGAAGCAATGTTTTCTGTATTACGTATACAATGCTGCATCACTCTAGAATAGCAATATTCGTTCGGATATCACGTATGAATGATTTAATCAGTCATTGTGTGTCGACATTCAACAGGATTCCACTCACTACCTTCGGTGTGTTGGTTATCCAGACAAAACGTGCAATCACATTTTTCCTGACAACCGGACGGTATCAACATATGAAAAGGTGATTATATGTAAATATCTCTATAATTATCTTCATATTCTCCAAATGAAGATTACAATGTATTCCACATGAATAAAGACATAAATCAAATCAGAACAATGGATTAATATAACATACATGTAACAAAATGTATTTATCTTATATGGACTAACTAGGTAAGCGTCATAAATAATTATGTTTGTACATTTAGTTTCCAATTAAAAATAGTGTTACTCTCAAATCAGCTGCTGTTAATTCTAACCATGTTATATACATTTACAACAGAGGTAATTCTGAATTCTTCCAATTCTTTATTTTCTAAACTAAATTTTACTTTGCTTCCATGTAGAGACTCCATGACTTCATTTCCAGGCGATGTTTAATCGCTAATGGCTAATTGACAGATCGTGTACATTGGCTATATCCATGTTAACATGTTCTGTACGGTCTTGGTAGAACTCAGCGCACCTGTGTATAGTATTCCTGTTTCTAATTATAACAATAAGATTCATCACAAAATGTATCTTATCTCTGTACATGGGGTTTTCCCTGACTCACAACCATCGACATATATATATATGATGTATCTCAATACTAAAGGGGGGAACACGCCATAACATATCACACAACAAACTGTTAGCCTTCACTACTGACCTGTATCTCATCATAGCCTTTACTAAATTTGTAATCAAGTAATACATAAATATATTCCTTTATTTCACCATTATGTTTTTATTAATCATGATTGCAAAGATAAAAGTTAATTCTCTAAACTATTTACTTTAACTTTACACACTACATTTAATGATTTGTACGTATACATGGTAAGTTGACACAATATATTTGATGATGTAAACATATTACTGTAACTACACCAACAGTTGATGATGTAAACGTATTTACTGTAACTACACCAACAGTTGATGATGTAAACGTGTTTACTGTAACTACACCAACAGTTGATGATGTAAACGTATTTACTGTAACTACACCAACAGTTGATGATGTAAACGTATTTACTAACTACACCAATATTTCGTATTTAGTGTAATTCTACAGTCCAAAGTCAATGGCGTTAACTTTTTGTCTGTTTTCTATACAGGAAAAGCTGTTTGGGTACATGTCATGATGGATCAATTAATATAATGTTATTGTTCTCCACACCTTCATTGTCTAAATGATTTATGCCAATCCCAGAAATGAATTGACCTACTCGTCGGGACCTCATCCAGCCATGCAGATAATATACAGTGTACCTAGTCAAGTCCTCATGTACCCGTTAATCGCTTTCGCCTTGGAATCGGTCGATTCTAGAATATAAGGTACATAGATCAATACTTTCTGCAGGAAGTGGCTCCAGCGCTCACCTACACACAATAGATTCGCACAGGCAGGACGGGTGCACGGTACCGTTACACGCGATCGAAGACAGTATGGAATGATAATCACAGTACAAATGTTGAGATTAAACTATTGTCATAGGTAACATGTGGAATCCTGTATCTAGGTGAACTTGAGTGGTGGTATTGACTAGGGTTTTTTAAGTGACTGATGTGAATACTGTCTGTACATCTGTGTAATCCACCATTGCCTCAGCATGAGTATCAAGGAGAGGGATTGTCAGTGATATCCGCACGTGTCGAAGACTGTAGCACCTATATCAGGTAAGTTCATCGCTACCGCAGTGTGGCATTTATACAATCATAACAGACATTTAGAACACATGAGACTGTTACCACTATATCAAGAAAGTGTCTGATAGTGTGCCATGTTTTAGGCACACCATATATACAGTCAACATGTGTCTGGGCGTGTTACCGCCTATATAAGGTAAAACTATCGTGGTGTGTCGTGTTGATAGTCTTACCATAATTTTGTGTATACAGTAAATATGTGTCTGAGACTGTAGTTCCATGTATCGGGTAAGTCTCTGACAGCGTGGCATGTTGACGTCATGGCATAAATAGAGCAAACATGTGTGTGAGACTGTTACCACTATATCTGGTAAGTTTCTGACAGTGTGGCATGTTGTACATGTAGGCATGACACAAATAGAGTAAAGATATGTCTGAGACTGTTACAAATATATCAGGTAAATTTCTGATAGTTTGACATGCTGATAGTGATAACATAATGTTGTATATACAATAAGCATGTGTCTGTAGCTCCCTATATCAAGTAAGTATATTGTAGCAAGTCGTGTTAATAGTCAAGACATGTATACAGTTAACATATGTCTGAGCTTGTTACCAATATATTAGGTAGGTTTCTGGCTGTGATCAAACTATTTCCCAAACTTCATGTTGTGCCAGTGTTTACACTGTGAGGAAATAACAATACTCTGTGAATAATTCACTCTTGTTTCCAAACCAATCAAGTGGTGTATACATGTAGGTATACAATATGGATAAAAAACTACACAATTAGCTAGAAATATTATCATAGGTTTGGTTCATTAGAGTAGTTATTAGTATGTAAAGCGTCACAAAGTATATACGCAATAAATTCAAGCATTATTTCGTGTTATATATTTTCGTTTTGTCTGGGACATTAGCACTGGGCTACACTGCGGTATACCTGGGATATTAGCACTGGGTTACACTGCCGTATACCTGGGACATTAGCACTGGGCTACACTGCCGTATACCTGGGACATTAGCACTGGGCTACACTGCGTATAACTGGGACATTAGCACTGGGCTAAACTGCCGTATACCTGGGACATTAGCACTGGGGTACACTGCGGTATACCTGGGATATTAGCACTGGGGTACACTGCCGTATACCTGGGAAATTAGCACTGGGCTACACTGCGGTATACCTGGGTTATTGGCACTGGGCTACACTGCCGTATACCTGGGACTTTAGCACTGGGCTAAACTGCCGTATACCTGGGACATTAGCACTGGGCTACACTGGCGTATAACTGGGACATTAGCACTGGGCTACACTGCGGTATACCCGGGACATTAGCACTGGGCTACACTGCCGTATACCTGTGACATTGGCACTGGGGTACACTGCGGTATACCTGGGATATTAGCACTGGGTTACACTGCCGTATACCTGGGACATTGGCACTGGGGTACACTGCGGTATACCTGGGATATTAGCACTGGGTTACACTGCCGTATACCTGGGACATTAGCACTGGGGTACACTGCGGTATACCTGGGATATTAGCACTGGGCTACACTGCGGTATACCTGGGTTATTGGCACTGGGCTACACTGCCGTATACCTGGGACTTTAGCACTGGGCTAAACTGCCGTATACCTGGGACATTAGCACTGGGGTACACTGCGGTATACCTGGGATATTAGCACTGGGGTACACTGCCGTATACCTGGGAAATTAGCACTGGGCTACACTGCGGTATACCTGGGATATTAGCCCTGGGGTACACTGCCGTATACCTGGGACATTAGCACTGGGGTACACTGCGGTATACCTGGGATATTAGCACTGGGGTACACTGCCGTATACCTGGGACATTGGCACTGGGGTACACTGCGGTATACCTGGGATATTAGCACTGGGGTACACTGCCGTATACCTGGGACATTGGCACTGGGGTACACTGCGTTATACCTGGGATATTAGCACTGGGGTACACTGCCGTATACCTGGGACATTAGCACTGGGCTACACTGCCGTATACCTGGGATATTAGCACTGGGCTGCACTGCGGTATACCTGGGACATTAGCACTGGGCTACACTGCGTATACCTGGGACATTAGCACTGGGCTAAACTGCCGTATACCTGGGACATTAGCACTGGGCTACATTGGCGTATACCTGGGACATTAGCACTGGGCTACACTGCGGTATACCTGGGACATTAGCACTGGGCTACACTGCCGTATATACCTGGGACATTAGCACAGGGCTACACTGCGGTATACCTGGGACGTTAGCACTGGGCTACACTGCTACCACATGCTATAACATATGAAACTCGTTAAGATCGTATCATCATAATCAATATCGTGTGAAGTGACACCTATATGAAGAACTAAGCTACTATAATCTTTTATGTAGGCCAATTTGTATCGATCGACGCACTCTCCCAGCAAATGGCATTTGTACGGCAACAGAAGAATAAAACAATACTTTATGGAATCGTGTGACACCACTCACGTTTACGTCGCACAAACTTCCATACATATTAGCATATGTACGTATGCTACACTTTGGTAATTCGTTTGTCAATTTAATTCATGTACTGAAAACGAATCGAATTCCGGTTTTGTTTAGAGTGATTTTTTTCATAAAATGACAAGGTATCAGCCACTAACTATTGCCTTAACTAAATTGTGCCGACGCTATCCAAGTTTTAGTAAGAAACTTGCGACGTTGTTTTAAATAGATTTTTAAATAAACACTCTTCACTGTTTATGACTTAGAAAATTTACAACCTTGCAATCAGGCACTTACATTTGTTACAATTACTTGGTATATAAACATTGATAAGGAGTTTTGTAAAATGCTGTGAATATTGTAAACTCTCTTGAAAATGATTTGTGAAAATGTATTTATTTGATGCGACCATGTAATGCATTCAGAGAAAACTGACGCAAATATTAAGCAAAGATTTGTATTTTTATTGAAAATTATGATGATATATGCATATTTGATTCAGGATGAAATTAAACGAATGGTGCTTAAAATGTCCTAATCACATCTTAATCACGTTTAAATGATTCCTAAAATAATAACAAAAACAACTTACAGTTTCCTCCCATAACCCTAAAACAATTTATTATTGCCAATGTCTTTCACTGATTATATTACCTTGTCATCTCAATTATGCAGAAAGTATAAATTCAGCAGGATCACGTACAGGGACATGACCCCCTTATGGTATAGAACTATTGTTTTGGAAAATGCGTACATGCTTCAAGGTTAGTTACTAATAAAAACATTCCTAATATGAGAAAATGCTCAACTTAACAATGAGATGATTCAGTATATACTAAAAGCAAAATCAATTTTTATTTTTTTATTTTTGCAAAATTTTCGTTTAATAGTACGTTATAAATCTGGATATCTTTGGGGTATATCTTTGTTATGCGCGAGATGACAAGTACGAGTATGGAATTATTCATTTTCAATTTTTGTTACAAAATCTCCTTCCCCCGCGTCATAAATCAGGAAGAGTTGTCGGTCATGACTTGTTTACATCGGTTTTACCCAGAGAATTCAGTGCTCTTAATTTGCTGTTACACTCTCTGCTTGTCTCTTTCGATATAATGTAATGTCACTTGGTGCTACGTCAACCATCCTTTTTTTTCTTTTTCCTTGATCACCACCTTATGTCCCCGAACCTACGTGAGTCTGACTGTAAAACATTTGGCGCCTTTGGCTCAAATCTATTCCCATATGTGTGTCATTTCACCGATCTATTAAGTGTCTGTGAGGACCCAACAGCCTTCCAAACTGCCTGAACAAACAACAAATAAAAAAGAAAATTTCACCGCTGTTCATTTGTTTCTTATTAGATTGTTCCGACCAATTATGTACCCTATAACCTTATTAAATGATTGTGACCTTGACCCTATTTTACTTGACATTATAGCTCGAAGTACATTTCAATTTTTATATATGCATATTTTTTTCTGTTGCATCCTATATTGTCTTTTGCTTCTAGTCATTATCATTACTTGTAATTCTTTTAATGAACCCCCACTTTAAGTGTTTAATGTAAAAGTTACTAGTTACATTGGTTATATCCCGGCCTTTGCCCTTATTTCTCTTCCAGGGAGTTAGTCCTAAACCATGTGCCCGAAAACTAAGGCGACCCTGCATAAAACGGTAGTTTGAACAAAGGAAGTATTTACACGTAAACCTTTGAACAATAAAACAATAAAATAATAAAACAATAATAAAACAATAAAATAATAAAACAATAATAAAACAATAAAAGTAACGCCAGGTGTCCCATATTCTCTGATTCATCGACGAAACCCGTCATGTAAAATCCATATCAAATCATAGTAATGTCACATCGTTTAATTAGGATAAAGGACAGTGACATCAGAATCAAAAGGCACACTAATAAGCATAATTCAAAACATGAAATGGAATACTTAAAATGAGTCTATGGTCATAGTTTTCCTTAACCTTCGTCCTTGCGTAATTGTTTGTCTTTCAGGAACAATTTGAATGGCATTTAATCTTGCTCATTTTATAACTATATTACAGGTTATTCCTTACATATACCAAAGTAAGAAAAATACCGAAGGCTGTGATAAACAGATTCCAACTTAAGAACAACCTGATTTCATTGATTGAGGTACGTCATTCTGTTTTGTTATGTTTTGCTGGTTAAACTCGATATCTTTTAGGGATGAAAATATCTTGAACTCTTTATGGTCTGATGGCTTATTAATTACCTACAGCTAGGTGCTATATACAGAATGTTTATTTAAAAACTTCTGCTATTTTTTGATAATTTCCGTCCTTGCATAGTGCATGTCTAGTCACGAATCAGCAGTTGGCCTGCATACATAGCTCACTATGTAGGCATGCATACAAGTGAGTTAACAGCCTGGAGACAAGTCACACACTCATGTGTTATTACAGGCCAAAATGTTATTCAACTTCAAAAATCAATAGGCAAATCGATTGGCTGGTGAATATTTGACGACTAAGAATGAAGTCTACACCATTTAATAAGTTTTACAAACTGAATATCCGCCATGACACAGCATTTTTCATAATGGATTGGCTTGTTCAATTAATTTTGCCATCAGTAGTACTCCAGCCGCTAAATTAACTTCAGCCCTTTGTATTATATATATATCCCTGTCAACAATATAAACGTTTCCTGTAGATCGACTCAGCAGTTTAACGGCGATGTATTGCTGGCGTTGATTCGACTCGACGTCGCCAATAGGTATATCCTGACACCATTTATTTGATGTTCGCAATAAACACCATATATCGATAAACAACAAGCTTTACAGAACCACTGATAATCACAATAAACACCATATATCGGTAAACAACAAGTTGTACAGAACCACTGATGCTCACAATAAACAGCATTTATCGGTAAATAACAAGCTGTACAGAACCACTGATGTTCACAATAAACACCATATATCGGTAAACAACAAGCTTTACAGAACCACTGATGTTCACAATACACACCATATATCGGTAAACAACAAGTTGTACAGAACCACTGATGTTCACAATAAACAGCATTTATCGGTAAATAACAAGCTGTACAGAACCACTGATGTTCACAATACACACCATATATCGGTAAACAACAAGCTGTACAGAGCCACTGATGTTCACAATAAACACGATATATCGGTAAACAACAAGCTTTACAGAACCACTGATTTTCACAATAAATACCATATATCGGTAAACGACAAGCTTTACAGAACCACTGATGTTCACAATACACATCATATATCGGTAAACAACAAGCTTTACAGAACCACTGATAATCACAATAAACACCATATATCGGTAAACAACAAGTTGTCCAGAACCACTGATGTTCACAATACACACCATATATCGGTAAACAACAAGCTTTACAGAACCACTGATGTTCACAATAAACAGCATATATCGGTAAACAAGCTTTACAGAACCACTGATGTTCACAATAAACACCATATATCGGTAAACAACAAGCTGTACAGAACCACTGATGTTCACAATAAACACGATATATCGGTAAACAACAAGCTGTACAGAACCACTGATGTTCACAATACACCAATCACATATCGACAACCAACCTAATAGATAGTCTTAATGGAGGTTCCGCACAGATTGACTGTTGTAGTGAGTGAGTGATCTACATTGATGATAACAACAGATTTTTGATGTGTGTCGAGTGATCTACATTGATGTTTACAACAGTCTATTGATGTTTGTCGAGTGATCTATATTGATGTTATAATAACGACGAGCTTGGCCACGTAAAATTGTGATAGGGTTATCAGTTGTAATCTAGAGATCGCAAGTTTATATGTTATGCACTAAAAGATATTTTTTTATAATATTGATTAATTCTAAGTGCTCGTTCCGCTCATCTCTTGTACAATTCAATCATCCATTATTGTACTAAGTCGCAGAAGAATGTCTGTAACGATAACGAACGAAGGGCGACAATATCCAGACGGCTAGGTTGAGGACCAGTTTATTAACAATTCTATTTACCCAATACCTCTGCTGTTAATAGATGGCCAGCGGGTCAATACACAGGAGTAATTGTGGCAGAAATTAACGTTCGAAACATAAATACCATGTATCGGTATACAAACAGCTGTACATGTAGCAATTATATTAGATCGAAGCCTCAAATGTTTCCACAAATCTGGTTAAATGGCTAAATGATCAATAATACATATATCCGTGAAATCTTAATAATAAGAGTAGGGTTTGGAATAGAGTATTGACTGTGACATGTTAACTCTTTAGGGACCATTATTGTTAAACTGTACCTAATACCATAGAGAATTTAGTAGTGAAGTGGCTGTTGTTGTCATGAAATAATTATACTTCAATACATGAACCCATACAGCAATAATCTTTGGTGTATATAATTTTAGGTATCTCTATTAAGTGCAAGTACAGGAAAGTCTCGCCATTCTTGTCATTAAATGTCAAACCATCGTCAATATTTCTAAATGTGATATTTACAATTTGGCAAGTGGCTTGTCTCTCTTCTATGAAAGATCTTGTATCTATCTGGTTTCTTACTGATACAAAATGTACAGATCAGGTAAAAGTGGTGTTTACTGACATACCAACTAATGGTTACTTTGTCAGATCATGTAGCCCCGGTATAGGGACACTCCCGTCATACAGTTACAATCCAATCCAAAGGGGAAGTCGCGGCAATTGTAATAAAGTTTACGTGTTTTGTCATCAGAGGCTCTTCATTTGACGTTGCCCTTACTCTTAAAGCCAATTTAGTGAATTCCATCAACTGGGGTGCGCAGAACGTCATTGGACATCCCATAGCGGACGTTTGATATAATATTCCCTTTAAATCAAATTACGTAAGTAAAGATTGAATTGTTTTTATCTACATAATTTAATAATGGATGTGTAAAGCTAACAACAACAAAAATTTTCATATAACGCCTTTTTAATTCCTGTTCTATGGCAATATGTACAGTAATAACCAATAGGTCAATGGGGGTTTCTTATCTGTGTGAAAGAGGCATCAGGGTACAACGTTTTCATTATTTAGGGGCTCCTGAATGATGCACACAATTCCATAGATATGAAGGATATAAGGTAACGACTACTCACTAGAACTACTAATTAAGGTATAGACAGCATCTACTGAACACACGGTATTAAGTAAAAGGTGCTTACAAAACCCTGTATTACGTTACACAGATTTATGCTGCTGTTTAAATTCTTTTCAATCCATTATGCAGCTAATGTTATTACTTTGAATCACTCTACTAATTATTTAGATGATTAATTAACTTAATTACAGTATGGGGGTCGAAAAATGAAATATCAACCTGAAAGTACTTCTCTGAAAAAAACCACGTATTGTTTGCATTGGAATACTAAGTGAAGAACATTTTCTTTCATGTAGTACTTTAATGATATATTTATCATCCAGAATCCAGAGTTTAATCGAACATTTTAATGATTTTTTAATGTAAAATATAGGATTTATTATTCTTATTATTCTTGTATACCAAAAATGTCAAAATATTTATGCAAAATTTCCGTCCAAAAAAAGTGGTGGAAAGTATTCATTTCGCACAACAATATACCCCTGTGTACCTAAAAAGGTGAGGGCATAAAACGCCTCCATGGCGTCCACTAAAATGCAATGCACCTGATATCAGTTAATTGGTAATGAAATTCGTTGCAAGCCTACAATAAACCTTTAGTGCATGTTAGGTCACAACAAATTCCAAATTCAAATATGCTTCATCACTTGGCGTGATTGATTAAGATTTTATTATCAATCAATTTTAAGATCAAATGTAATTTCCTTGTCACTTTTTAGAATTTGTTCTTATACATTTTAGCATCAGACTTTCGTTTTCTCATTGATTTTAGAGGATATTTCATACTCATTTGTTAATATTCATCTCATAATGAGTAAATTTATTGGTGGAGGTCGCCAACGTATCTTCTCGAAATCTCTTAAATGTAAAGGTACACAAAATGTGAAAAGATCCATAATAAAAAAGACTTTTTTTATATTGACTAACTGTGGCATAGATTGCCAAAATGAAGAAGAATGAAAAATCTGAAAAAAAGAGCGTTTGGAAGATGAAACTACTAGAAGTTTTTCTCTCTTAACAATCAATGACCTGTTTTACGGGTCCTTTTCTCATAAAGAATGTTGTCTTTGTTTTCACAATTTTAATTCGAAGGCAAGCAATTCCACAATTCTGCAAAAACGTGCCAAGGATCAGTTAAGTTTCACACACAAATTGTGATGTTCTGCGTCATCATGTGTATGCTCATTTCTTTTTATTGGCAATGACCTGAACATTTGTACACAGGTTATACTACAGTTTCGGCTACGTTGTGGAATAGCTTACCATCTGCTATTAGGAAGTCAAATACCCTGGCCAGGTTCAAGAGGGACATACAAACTCACCTCTTCACGTCTGCATTTTAAAATCTTTGCAAAGACAGACGTCATGTAAATACCACCCTTTTATTTGTTCAAGTATGTGCACATTGCTTGTTAAATGTATAAAAGTGATTGCAAGCCTTTGTTGTTTGTTTTCACAATTATAACCATTACTATTATCAATACGTTGTAAAGCGCCTTAGAGTAATTTCACAAATTATATAGGGTGCTATATAAATGTTGTATATTGTTATTATTATTATTATAAGGAAGAGAGTATTTGAATCCTCAATAATGAAGTAGGTCATCTGAAATAATTGATGACCATTTAGAAGTGTCGTACATCTTATAAAAAAATCAATCAGCCTTCACTCTAATTTTTTGTCTCTTGGATGACCCTGACTGCAAAGCTTGGACAGATTGATCAAAGAACCGTTTCTCAAAATCCATTCACACTTTGTCGCTTTTCTTCCCTTTTCAGTATAAACCCAACATGTACAAAATGCTCTTTTACTGTTTATGACGAAAACTTTTAGCTCTTGTTAACTCTTTTTATCATTTCCTGGTTGGTATTTCAAAAACCATTAATTCGGTATTACAAGCATTGAATAAATCTATAGTTTATATTTTTATTAAAAAAAAGTGCTGACCATAAGTTTCAGAGAATGTCTTATGGTGGCCATTCTCGATATTCAGGGGTTACG